TTTCCCTTTAAACCTATGTTGCTATGTCTGAGTCTATGTGATCACAACCATGCATGTGACTAATAAAGACTCTCTCATCAGTGACAGGAGTCAGCCCATGCTGACAGAGTATACTGTGAAAAACTGTCTCAGCTTCTATGTCTGCTAGTGAGCTCATGCTGGGACAGGGTCAAGGGTCAGGAGTCAGCAGTGGGGCAGCCCAGAAGAGAGAAGAAAGCCGAGATGCTTACAGGTACCTGGCTGGAGAGGGCGAAGGTGCTGGCTGGGCTTTTCTTCTTGCTGTTGCTGTTGTTAGTGTTGCCGCCTCCCGAGCTCATGGTGCTGCCCCCTGACATCTTCCGTTTCCGCCGTTTGCTGGGCTGCTGTCGGGCGGGCTCCGCTGTGCCAGAGAAAGGAGACCCCGGTGGGACAGTGCCCTGGGCCTGATTCCCCATTCTGGCTCCTAAGGAGCCTGAGCCTACTCTGATCCCATTCTTGCAGACCCAAGAGTCAAGAAAGGACCTCAAGAGGAGATCAGAAATACAGCCCCTGGAGGTGGCATCAGATCCTCGTAAGAGCAGATACAGGCACAAGGCACTCACCAGGGGGCGCTACCATGCGCTGCCACTTCTGGAAAAGGCAGGTCTTGAGGCAGTCACGAGGGCTGAGGCTATAGGTCTTGTGGCGGGACATGAGCTCCTGCATGGGCTCCAGTATCACACAAAGCTGCAGGGAGACCAGGAGTAAGCTTGACAGGGGAGACATGGAGCCGAGACCAAATGGAATGGCGTAGAGACTGGGTGATCAGACTCACTCGGAGGTAGTTGAGAGTGGAATTGGACAGCCCACACCGGGTGATGTTTTTGGAGAGCTGGTCTAACATCTGGGGGTCCTGGGCCTAGAAAGATGGGGAAAAAGATAAGAATCTTAGTACCTGTGTTGTACCTGCTCACCTGCCCTATCATCTGAGCCATATGATACTCCTGAGAGGGTTATTATTAAATCCATTTTTCAGGTGGAGAAATTCTAATCTTCTTTCTAAGGTCACTGTCAGGAAATGGCAGACTTTGTTCTGCCCTTCCCACTGCCTGCCCTCCCCCCCTGTATCTTGGGTCCAGCCCACACTCACATGCATGGCAAGGATGCTGCGGGGGATGAGCTCACGGTGCTGCCGGATGCTGAAGTGCCAAGTCTTTATCCGCATCATGTCATCAAACATGAACTCCAGATATAACCGGCCCTCCACACACACCTGGAGACAAACCTGTCACAGCTTTGCCCCTTCCCCCATACCTGAAATTATACCTATTTTCCCATTTGCTCCCAACTCTCCTACTGCACACAGTTCTGCCACCTGCACCTAAATCTGGATGTATAGCTGACACAGAACATTCCCTTATATACCCGTCACAGCCCTGGCCCTTACACATGCACAGTAGAAATGCTTAACTGATCCTGTCCTCTTCCCCATGTAGCTGGTGATACATTCATCTGCTATAAGCTTGATGAGGGCAGGCACTTATTAAGTGGTATATGTACCCGTGGCCCAGAATACTGTCATGCATAAGCTCAGTGAATGTCTGCTGAATGCTGCAACATGCCTTCCCCGCCATCTTATCTGGCCACTTCCCATTATGTCTCCCTGGGAGACAGCTGAGTATATTTTTGAGAAAGAAGAAGGGAATCAAACTCAGATGCTTCAGTGTTCCACATCCAGCTGGGTTGCTGACCTGGGTGAACATGGGTTTGCCGTGCTGGGTCACCATGCTGCCTTGGTCACAATCAAGGGACACAAAGTTGCTGTGGAATGCCTCCTTGGGGTGCTTAAGCACATAGTATAGCTCCGTAGCACCCCCTTCAAAGATGCTGCGGAAGTAGCGTGGAATCAAGGTCCGGCCGATGGCTGTAGAGATGGGACAAACCCTTCAGAACATAAGGACCTCAAAAGAGGTCAGGCAGATGCCACCCCTGCCAAAATGAATACCCTGAGACAAATACCTACTCCTAGACCTTAGAAGGACACAGGAGATATACACCCTCACAACAGAGGCCACTCACTGTATCTCTTTGGTCCATCCTCCAGGCAGAAAGTGATGGTTAACATGGCGTCATCCTCAAAGAACTCAGTTGTGAAAGCGTCCCACCAGAGATTGTCACACTCCTAAGGAGCACATGGAGGGGTGTTTGTGTGAATGACAGAAGACATCCCACAGGGGTACCCAGATGGTCCTCTGCCCAAAGCCCCCTCCCCTTAGCCATACCTCTGTCCAGTTTTGAAGCCGTTTGTTAAGCTCAAATATTCTGTAGTCAGTTTGGTTGCCATATGGTGTGTGCCTCCTGGGATAAGTGAAGAAGGGAGGTCAGAAGGAGCAGAGCCTCCCCACCGCCACCACCTCTGCCTTCACTCATGTAATGGAAAGCACGTCCCTCACCACTGAACTCCACTTACCCAATCCCAGGCTCCAGGTATGTAGGCGGGTACATGGGAGTTGGGCTGTATAAGGGAAGAGGCTATGAGAATAGGTATGGAAGATAGGAATTATTGAAGGGGGGTGTCACGCCCTCCCTTTTTAGGCAGGATCCCTTCTGGAGAAGGCATCAGCAGTTAATAAGAGACTCACCCCACATCCCGATCTAGCATGGTGCCGGGATGGAAAGGGGGGAAGGCGTTGCCGTTCGGGGGCTCTTTCGGTGAGTACAGCTTGAATGACTTTGAGGAACAACCTACAAGGGAAAGGAAGAAGAGATGCCCTGAGTCCCTCCTGGCAGCTCTCCTGGAAGTTTGCTAGATTGTGCTAGATAAGGACTAGTCTTCTGGAGCCCCCGGAGTGGACCAGGGGAGGGGAACTACCCTAGGGAGCATCTATCTCTGCTTCTAAATCTGGCTCCAATCTTCTTTTACTAAGGAACTAGAAGTACCCAGCTCCAATATCCAAGAACCTATTTCTTCATGTGGCTGAACCCTGGATGATAGAATGGAAGCTGAGAAGAAATGTCAATATCATAGAATAAACATCCAAACATTAGAATCTAATTTTGATAAACCCCCTTTTATCTACATCGTTTTGTTCAATGATCACAACCACTATGTGAGGTAGCAGGGTCAAATGTAACATTCCCATTTTACAGATAAGGCAACTGAAAGCTCAAGGGGACTTGGCAAGATCACAAAGCGAGAACTTGAGCCCCAATCTTCTGATTTCCAAAGCCTGTAGTTATTTCTACCCTTCTATTGCCCTCTGGAGACCAAGTCGGGACAGAAAAAAGGGAGATTTTGCCAACTCCGTGCCCCTCCTCCAACCCCAGGGTCTCAGGAGGGCAGGGGATAGAAAGATAAAAGGGGGTGGGTGTCTGCTGGGTGCCGCCCACCAGATAACCAGTTGGGCCTTCTGCCTCCCCCACCAACGGCACTCCCTTATCAGCCCAGCCCCCTCCCCCACACCCACCACTGCTCGAGTATTGTCTCCAAACCAGAAACCCAAAGTCTCAGCCCATTTTGTCTTCTGAGACTTGCAGTGGGGGAGGGAGGTAGAGGGACCTCTACTAGATCCCATTCTACTTACAAATGGGAAAGAAGAAGGCTGGGAAGGAGCAAGCCTAGGTTCTGGGGGGCTCAGTCTAGGAGGTAAGTGGTAACTAGACGAGGGTCTCTGTTTGTGTGTATCTGTACATGTGCACATGTGTCCCCCCTCTCCACCTCACCCAGAAGCACACAATTCTGGTAAACTATTTCCTGACTGGAAAAAGTATTATATTCATAGTTGGGTATGAGCCAGGTACCCCTACAATGCTCTTTTCCTCTTGAGGGGAAACCAAGGCACCACTCCAAAAGTCCTGACCCCAGTCATAGTTGCTTCCTCACACTCCCCAAACTTGATAGCATTTGGAAGAGAAGCTGTATTGGCTGTTTCTGAGCCCCCTCCCCAATTTAGATACAAAATATTTTGTTCCTTGGGGAAAAGAGACAAAGAAGATCCTGTGCCAATGTGTGTCATTTAATTCTCTCCCCAGGGCCCCCTCCTCAAAATATGGGCAAAAGGAGGGTCCCAGGAGGGACTTCACTACACAGTGCCTTGAAGGTGCCAAGAGTCAGAGCCTGTGTGTGCCTGCACATGCGTGCGCCTCATCCTGCCTAGCAAGCTTCTATCCTCAGCTCGCCCCAACATGCCTACCAAGGGCTGGAACCTAGCAGCCCTAGGCAGGATCAGGGTGCCGGCAACAGAGCCTTGCTCCATGCATGAGCTCTCATGGGCCACGTTCACATGCTCCCAGCACAGCACACACAGTCTTCAGATGTCAGTCTGGACTGAGGAACCTCAAGAAAGAGACTCCCATCTGCCCTCACGACTCCCCACTCCACAGATAGACCAAGGCCACGTAGGAGGCCAAGCTTACACAGCCCACCACAGGCCAGGCCCGGGCAATGAACGCAAGAGTCCAGATGATTGGACCTGGCCCTCATCCCCTAACTAGGTCATCCTTTCCCCAAAAGTATCACTGCCCTTGCCCCTCAGTTTCAGGGCCACTTGAAAAAATGTGTCAGCTCAAGACCCTAAAAAGGGAGGCAGTATACCTGGGTTCCTCTAATTCTAAAAAAGTTTCAGAGATTCAATTTCTCTTACTAGTGAAGTGACAGGGGCTGGGTAACAGTTCGGAGGAGCTAAAGTCCAAAGCTCTGGGGCCTCTATTTACATCTCCAGTGAATGGACACTAACAAACTCAGCATCTCTCCAGAGCCATAGCAACTCCCAGTAGTCCCAGCACAAGGGCCTGGGAGTGAGAAGAGAAGGGGAGGGAAAATCACCCAGACCATCTGTCTCTGTTGCCGCCTGTCCCCAGCAGCAGGGGTAGAAGGAGCAGGGTGGGGGTGGGAGTGAAGGGTATGTGTCATCCAGCCTTGAGGTCAAACATAGCCCCCACTTCCACTTCTAGCAGTCTAAAAGCCCTTAGGAACCAGGAGGAGAGAGGAAGACTCTCGAACTGGAAAGTTTTCTCAGGATAGAATCTGCATCCTAGGGCTGAGGGGGGAACCTCCGGCTGGGCATTTCCATGGTAACCAGCCTGACCAGAGGGCAGGCCCCCTCCCTTTGGGGTTTGACCAGAGGTCAGCAGGCCTGGGAGTCCTGGCCTCCCTGAGATGGGGCACCTCTCCCCCAAGCCAGTATATCAGGCCTGGGCCAGACCCAGGACCTTCCACCCATCCCTTACAGGCTTGCAGGGTACGCAGACTTACCTGGGAGAACTGAGGGGGCCAGGAAAGGTGCGGGGAGCGGCTGCAAGCCCAGCGGGGCCCTGGCAAGGGTGAGGACTGATGGGGGGCCAACTTCAGCTGCTCATGTCCCGAGTGGGACAGGCAGGCCTGGCTGGGAGCTCCACTCAGCGGGCCGCACAAAGACTCGCACGCACAGCCTCGGCCAGCCCCGCGGCGGCCACAGCCCCGGGGAAAGTTACA